AAAAAAAAAAGACAGAGGGAACTACATAGACCATAATCCTTTGCTCCATTTCAGTGTAGATTATAATAGATAATAGAAATAACAGTTTTAAGCACTTTTGAGTCTTAGTTCTTTTAGATTAAGGCTTGTCAAGGCATTTTAAGAGGAAAAAATAGCGTATTCTCAGTTTTGTTAGCATCTACAAAATATCACAATTAGAGCCCGACCGATATGGATTTTGCTGTGGCCGATATTAAACCGATATAATGTCAGTTGGAGCTGCCGATAGCCGATATAATCACCGATATATTTAGTGATGTAAAAATTCACTGTAAATGTTGAATTGTTTAGAAAACTTAGGTTTGGCTCTGGTGGATTTTAAATTGGGTTTATTTAGGCAACATTTATTGTTATTCTGCCTCTTTACATCATATTTACAGACAGTAGTTCGGCTTAGTGACAGTCTTCCTGAACATGTGAGACAGGCCTCTTCTGTGACACTGTTTAAATCCAGGCTCAAAACATTTCTGTTTAACTGTGCATATCTGAAAGGTTTTCATTCCGCACTCTTCTCTCAATTTATGTCTCTCTTTTTAAATTTAATCTTCATGATTATTTATGTTTTGAGTTTTTATTATGATTTTAATGTATTTCTTATTCTGTAAAGCACTTTGAATTACTTTGTGTACGAATTGGCTATACAAAATAACTTTTGCCTTGCATTTTTGCATCACATTCTAGACACTAGTGATGGGTATTCCAGTTCTTTTTAGAGAACCGGCTCTTTTGGCTCGGCTCACTAAAAGCTGCTGGTTCTTTTGGCTCCCAAGCGGCTCTTCAGATTGTTTTGTTGCAAGCAGGACTAAAGCACGTCTAAAGCAGGACTGAATCAGGACTGAACCAGGTCTAAACCAGGACTGAAAAAGGACTAAACCGGGACTTATTTATTTTATGCTAAACTACAGTCAAATATGCTCGTTTTTTGTTTTTTTTTTTTTTTTCTTTTTTAAATCCTACGTACACGCAAATTTCTCAAAGTTTCATTTTTAGCCGCTGTCAAACCACGAATCTGCACGCGGCGTGAAGAGAAAAAAAGTGAGAGAAAGAGAAAACACGGCTCCCAATAAGGATCAGGCTCCCGTCGTTCCCTTTAAAGAGCCGGTTCTAAGAGTCATTTCGTTCGCGACGGACCCATAACTAGTAAAGAAAGTAGCGCTATTAGCCTTTAGCCGTAAATACGTGCGCGCCGCGGTAATTAATTATATGCGCAAATGTCGTAATTCACACGTCTGTTCACAGCTCATTTACATATCAGTGCAGGTCCAGTAGCAAATATACGGCCAATATAGTCACTTTAGAACAGACCAATAGAAAACAGTCTGTTTATGTGCGGGAGCTACAGCAGCTAACCCATAACAAATGACCAAAAACTAGCTTCAGAGTCGACATATTTCCAACACTCACCGCTCATACAGGCTCCTCCTCACATCACAAATCTGCACTAATAAATGTCCTTTTAATCCAGACTCAAACCGATTGTCCGTAAAAAGAATAATAATAAAGAATAATCTCAGTGTTTGGATCTGTGTCTGCAGGTGTAAACAAACACACGTGAGTGACGCCACTCTGTGGTGTGTTCAAGGACAGTACGGACACACACAAATGACTCCGTAGATAAATACTGATGTGGAGCCACATATTAGGACATTTATCTGTCTGTAAATTGGATTAAATGAACAGAATGTAGAGAGTCTAAGCTTTATAACGAGGTATAACATGCCCACGTGAAATATCGGCCCCTATCAGCAAGCATATCGGCCGATAGCCGATATGCCTAAAGTTGCCCATATCAGCCGATAATATCGGCCAACCGATATATCAGGTCGGGCTCTAATCACAATAAATATCATGTCGTGAGATGTATATCGTGAAAATATCGTACTGAGAGATTTGGATATTGTTACATCGTGAGCCTTCACCATATCTTGAGCTTCCCCATGATATCACAATAAATATCATACCGTGAGGTTCATACCGTGACGATATCATATTGTGAGACGTGGATATCTTTACACCCCTACCAATCACAACTAATTTTCATAAATCTATTTTTAAACGCAGTCTCTGAATTTCTTATTTCCTGATGTACATTTGAGTGAGTCATTCTAACCTACATGAACCTCTGTTTTAAAAAATGTTGAAGAATTGACTTTCTACAATATGTGGTGCACAGTGTGTTGATAAATACGAAAAATGTATAAAGTAATTAATAATATGAAAGGAGAAATATTCAGAGCCAGCCTCCAAGTGCATTTCATTAACTTTAAAGCAATGGCTCCATTAATTACACAATATGTACCAAGCTCCTCTCACTTGTACTGGATGTAAACACACCACCTTGACTGAGGGTGACAATGACAACGGCAAGCATGGAGGGCCAAATTAAATTAACATCAAATATTTACTGATACGATTGTATAGACAAACAGCTGTCACATACGTTTATTGTTAGGAAGGACAAATAGGCCAAATTGACATATCTTTCAACTATGTTTGTTGCCTCCTCGCCAAATACATACCTGGAGTTGTATTTTGCTTCATTCACTGTCGTATTAATCTATCCAAAGATTCAATCCAAAGTCATTTTCTCATTTTCTCTTTGCCCATCTTATTGTGTCACGGATAAAATCTAGACACTTCTGCAAAGTTAAATAAACCATCATTAGACTCATTCTACAGTCAAAGTTTTGTCACAACAAATGCATGACTGTATTAGTCTATTTGTTTTTCTAATTGTTCATTCTCGTTGCTAACAGCAGAGGGAGCTCCAATGCCTAAATACCACATTGGAAACTGAGGTGTAAATTATAAAGTGTATTTTGTAAATTAATTATGTTAGAAAATGTCAAATAATAATCCCAAGGTGACCAAAAGCATATTCAAAGGGCCCATATTACGCTTTTTTCTGATCTGTTATGATGTTGTTTCTTCATCACAAACATACCTGGAGTTGTGTTATGTTGCATTCACGTAAATCCTGCGTATTTAATCTGTATGTGCTCCACTGTGTTTTAAAACTCCACACACCTTCACAAGAAACATTTGGATGATTTCAGCCCTCGAATTGCTTATTTCTAGTGAACAAAAAGCAGCTGTTACCTTGAAAACTACTGCTAAATGACATTTCCCAAAGGTGGAACAGGGCATTTTGAGCTTTGGAGATGTCAAGGATTACTCAGACATTTGTGAATGAAACAAAATACAACTCCAGGTATGTTTGTAATGATGGAATATTACAACATGTTTTAAAGCTCACAAGACTGAATTTTGTGTAATGTAGGAGAATTAAAACTACAAGAATGTATAATATATATTATTTTTAAAAAGTCATAAATCATCCGAAGATTTGTTTGCTCTTGAAAGCAGAATGACGGGGCGAAATGGTGTTTTCCGTAGCACATAGGCGCGTGCATTGATTGCTGGGTGTTGCGTGGTGGTTTGAGTGGGCAGGTAGGGAAGGCAGCGGTAATTTGATGGCGGACTAACAGAAAGTGAAATTAAATTTACACAATGATAAAGGCGAGGTGAGACAACGTCCCCAAGGACACGCTCTGAGTCATCCATAAATGAGATGAGGAGCTGAGTGTGGCGTTCATAGAGACACATGCCTTCACAGGAGCAGCACAAGACACAATAAGTGCAAAGGATTTTATTACATTGACTATTTCTGATATTAGTTTGTTTTAGGCAGTAGCAGTAATGTTAGTAGTAGTATTACTGAAATTAGGGGAGTTAAATTAGCACTATTTTGATCTAACCATATCTAATTGTCAGTCATTAATATGAGCCTTTTTAAAGCAGACGTATTATGCCAAATCAACTCTTCAGAGCTTGTAACCTTATTATAGTTGCTTCCCCTCACCATACTTACCCAGAGTTGTATTTGGAGTGATTCGTGCATGTTTGAGTAATCTTTAATTGCTTATTTTCAAGACGCCATATTGCCATTTAATAACTCTTTTCAACACCACCAAGCATATGTCCACTGCGATGTACTTACTTTTCCAATTTTCCGTCACATTTTGGTACAAATTAAAAAGAATCTGCGATTATTCATACGAGGCAGATTTTCATTCTCGGCTCGTACGCAGATATATATATATATACTACAGTATATATATATATATATATACTACAGTATATAGCAGACGCAATCACAATAGGTCTTAAACTCAAGTCTACAGCCAATCTTTTTTCAGTAAACTATTTATTTTGTGTTAAATGGCATTGTCCTGTTAAGGTTTAGTACTACTTTTTGGTAGTTTAATAGTAGTAATAATGCATTTGCAGCTGAAGATGTACACAACATCCCCATCAGAATCATGAGCAAAAGGGTTTAGACTCAAATCAAAATTTGTTATAATCCCAGATGACATTAAACAATATTTCACAAGAATTCCATAAATGTCTGCATGGAATTCTTTATGAATTATGATTGAAAGCCATACTAAATTCCTCATGGGTTGGTACAAGGAAAAAAGGAGGATTTTCTTCACAAAGAATTCATGTCTAATCCATTATAGCTCTTTAATAAGGACACTACAGTACTTATTCTATTCAGTGCTCAATAACTGGATCCCAGTGAAGTCAGTTGTTTCAAACAATTTTTTTTATTATTGCCTGATTCATCAGCTGGTTTCACTTCGTAGAAACTGTCTGACCTTGCAGCATTAGGATTCATTTGCTAGACGGTAAGTGGGTACTTTTTTATTTAACCAATTGCTATTATTCGGTCGTGACATATGTAATGCGCCGCTAACGGGGCTAACTGGTATATTAAGCTTTTCCAAAATCCCGTAGGAAGAAGGGCAATAACAACTTTCCCCTTGATAAAATTCACCAAACATTCTCTTTGTTCCAGCTTTAAATCCTCGATCTTGGGAATTGTTGCCAACACAGAATATATGGCTCTTCGCTGGTTCTTGCAAACCATCTAGACATGAGCCTGCTTACAAGTCTCCATCATTTTTTGTTAAGTTATTCCACTGCTTGGACCATATCCTGGCATGGGGCAAAGAAAGCATGGACCACTCAGATTACCACAGCACACAACTAATCATTATTAAAACAGAAGGAAAGCGATCTGAATGACTTAGCCACAATGTGCGCACATGTTACGGATGGATTGTATATGAGAATGTACGGCTTGCATTGCATACTACTTCTGCATGCTTTTTTCTTGTCTTTTTTTCCCCCCAATTAGGGTAAGCGTGCTGGTGGGGGCTCCAAAGGCAAACACATCCCAGCCGGGGATCGTGGAGGCAGGGGCTGTCTACTACTGCCCTTGGCCTGGACAGACTGACAGCTGCAGACAGATACCTTTTGACAATGCAAGTGAGTAGTACAACATTTTAATTAACCATTTTGGGCTAACTTTTTACTGTTTCTATGGGCACTTTGTGGTTTGATCCTGATTCTGTCGTATTATAGTCTTGTTTTGGTCCTGTTTTAGTTCCGGATTTAGTCCCCGTTCAGTCCCAATTTTGATACAGCCTGTGTGCAAGAAAGAAAGAACAGTGATCTGCATTCAGTTGCCATGGGGTTTGTACCCCAGATGCCCTTCCTCATGCATCTGTCTCCATATTTAGGCTTGGGACCGGCACAATTGGTACTCTGGTCTCTTGTGATCGCTGGCTTCTTTTTATTTTGGCCAGTCTTTGGTCTTCTATCACCTGGATATAATAGTTTAGCAATATATAACAGATTTGAGAGCTTTATTGGAAAAGTAGCCATAAAATTTTATTGGTTTACGCTTGGTTTTGGTCTATAAACTCCAAGGATGGATCATGCCCAAAATGTCTGTCTGGTATGTTCAAGTATATATGTTAATACTAGTATCATGTAAAGTTGGCAGACACAATGATTGAGATAAAACATATGGGGCTCTTTAACTTCATCTCATAAAAAGGTGCTTAGTTTTGTGTTGATTACGCCTGTCTATTTATTATCATCAGTGTCTCTCACGCACTCCTTTCCATGTAAGTGTGTGCATGAGATAGAGGGAGAGGGAGATAGAGGGGGAGAGAGAAAGAGAGACAGAGGGAGAGAGAGAGAGAGAGTAGGGAGACAATGTGAGACCAGAAGGGGGGGTAACTGTATGCACATGGGAATTTAGTCCCCTTTAGATGAAAAAGGGGTGAGGTCTGCTTTTTATTAGATGCTGCAAAATGCATCTGTGTCTCTTTTTCTTTCTCTGTTCTCCATCTTTCTATTTTTATCATTTTCTATAGGCTTTTTAGATTAAAACTTTCTCGGTACTATATGTTGTCATGTTGTTTGTTGTTTGTTGTTAGTTGACAGAACTGTCTTCGCTCTCTGATGGGAACCTTACTAGCTCCAAGTCTGCCAGGAAAACATATTGGCGACATATTGTCAGTAAACGCCAATAAATCAGATATGTGTAGAATAGTAGGAACAGGTTTCAGATGTTGAATTTGCTATGGTAGCAGACTCTGGTGGCAACAGTAGCCAGTAAGTATTTGAAACATGTAAGTCAAGGTGTTTAGTTTTTATATGTAACTTCTTCAGAGATGTTTCTTAAAGTCGTAACGACAAATCATCTGCCCCTTGTGTACGATGATTTACATATTGATTTACTTTTCTTTTTACATCAGATGCTCTGTTGCGCTGTGTTGAAATACAAAGTTAGTTAGCTTAAAGTTAAAGGTGCGCTGTTATTTTTCTGTTTTTCCACCTTTTATTAGCCAGGCTGGTGCCACCTAGTGCCTCCGCTCAATTTAATTTATCTTCAGTGACTAGGTCAGGAATCAGAATACACTAGACGGTTTGCAAAAACCCCGGAAGTGCAAGTTCGGGCACCAGCCAATCAGCGAAGAGCCATACATTCTCTGTTGACAAAGATTCCCAAAATCGAGGATTTAAAGCCAGAACAAAGAGAATATTTGGTGAATTTTATCGGGGGGGGGGGTCCTTCTTCCTACGGGATTTGGGAAAAGCCTAATATACCAGTTAGCCCCGTTAGCGGTGCATTACATACATCATGACCAAATAGCAGCAATTGGTTAAATTAAATGGTACCCTCCTATCGTCGAGCGAACAAATCCTAATGCTGTGAAGTGAGACCGGCTGATGAACCAGGCTAACTGTTTGTGTCCATGAAGATGTGATTGTTTGAACAAGTAGTTCAGATCTGCAGGGAGACAAGCATCACATTAAGAAGGCACATTTTTCAAGGCATTATAAACACACAATTAATAAAAAACGATGGGACTTATCTCAATGGGGACAACAGGTGCCAGACCCTCTCCTGGAATAGTTTCTTTAATATTGAATCCAGAGCATCAAGGTCAAAGTAGTGTCACCAATTATTCCTAACTTTGACCAGTTTCTCTTTCCTTTTTTACTTTCTCTCTTGATGTAAAGTGCTCATACTATATTGGCAGTTTTAGTAGACCAAGGACTAAACACTAAAGATGTGAGAATGGAAAGCGCGGGAGGTGCTGGATGATTGATGATAGTGGCCACGCTGGTTTTGTCTACAGTTTCACGGAGCCATTAAAACAGGTAGATGTATTCATTGTTGTAAAAATGTGCAGGACTGGTGACCATCTGTGCGTACTGTTACTGTAGTGCCTCCACTGCATGCGTCAGCTTCACGTGGGTCCAATTATGTGAGCTGGCGTACCTGAGGGGTGCGCGGCCACAGTGACGTTAGGCAGAAGCCACGCCACTCTGAGCTGCTGGGGGTGGGGGAGGGGTATAAACGGTCACACCTCCAAAAAGGGGCCAGATAGATTTCACATGGGTCATAGAGAGATCTGAGGCTTGTGTTGTACATTCTGACTTAGCTGCTTTCAATAAATGGTTTATAGTGTTATACTGGTGTATTCAGATCCTTGAGTGACACAGGTGGAGTGTGTTGCTCAAAGGCACACATACATACCAGTGTTGATCTGTTGTTTTCTGATTCTTTTATGTGCTTTTTAGTGAGCAGTGTTTCCCTTTCACTTGTGTCCCTCTACATTTATCGACACATCTTTATCCTAACTAAGAGTACGCTGTGACCGGCTACAAATAGCTTTACGTACAAAATAACCATCTGAAAAATACAAATCAGTTATTAAATTTTGCATATACATTACCGGTGTAAAAGTTTTAGAACAACCTGATTTTTCCAGTCATTTATTGCAATTCAAGTCGTGCAAGTCCAATGAAGAGCTTGAAATGGTACGAAGGTAAGAACTGAACAGCCAGAGGTTAAGAAAAAAGATAAAAGATAACAAAACACAAGTCCAAGCTCTGCCAAAACTACCTCAGGAAAAAAGAACAAGATGGTGAGCTTGAAAACACGGAGTGTCCAACACAGTCTCCAGACGAAAACCCCATCGAGCTGGTTTGGGATGAACTAGACAGAAGAGTGAAAGCCAAGCACCCTACAAGTGCCACACATTTATGGGAACTTCTGCAACAAACTTGGGAAGAACTTTCTGAAGAATATTTGATTTCTATTGTAAAAAGAACAAGCCATGAGTGTGTTCAGCTGTTATATCTGCCAAAGGTGGACACTTTCATGAATCAAAAGTTTAGAATATGTTTTGGTCAACAGTAAACGTGGTGTTCTAAAATATTTGACCAGTAGTGTAAATTTTTTGCATAGATCTACTAAGGCATTTATGAGGAGAGCGCCCCGAAACATGCACTTTGACATTGGGTCTTTTACATAGTTCATTTTTTGTAAATAGATATAATATTGTACCACAGTGACCTTATAAATTTGGTCTTAAATGGGATGTTTTCTGAGTCGGCCTCCTTCTTTTGACCACTTTGGCCAGTTTCCCCACTCTCCTAAATAATGAAATCAGAATACATACTCCATAATGCAAAAGTTTATTACTACAAGTCCAACAGGAAGTGAGTCGATTTGTGCAAATTAAGTGTTTATTGGTGAACGCTCTCTGTAGCAATAACATCGTCCGTCTAGGATTTAAAGACACTGGAAAATCTCTCCAACAAAGTGAAGACACATTGAACCAGGCCAAACGTGACACTTTATTGTGGAGTGTTTGTGGATATGAACTTCATGTGTGCGTTGGATGCTGGAAAGGTTTAATGCTGCAGGCTCTTTTAGGTTTAGTGTTGTTCTATTTTATGAGAAAGTTCCAAAACTCGTATCCCCAGCAAATGCCTGTCTCTGGGGGCATATGTTGTTTTTGATGTTTGTTGCACACAGACCTCTTTAAAGATGTTTTGCTATGCCTTATCGGGGACAACTGTTTTCCATCTAAACTGCTCGGTCTCTCCTCCAGGCCACAGTCAATATCAGCTTTTTATAGGCTCTATTATGAAATGTCTTTTGCTCTGGTCTGGTTTTATTGTGCTCGTTTCCGCTCTGTGTGTCTGCAGATAACCGAATGATAAAGGTAAACGGCACTCGGGAGCCACTGGAATTCAAGTCTCATCAGTGGTTTGGGGCTTCGGTCAGGACGCACAGAGAGAAAGTAGTGGTGAGTAGATTTGGATATCACATTACAGTTATTCTAGGTCACTATTTAAATTATATTACCTTTCAAGTACCTTTGTGTTGTCTTCAAATGGTAACTTATTCTGAAAGTTCACTCCATGATTGCTGAATCCACCTGTCACTCAATTACAATATGACAGAGGCAAAGCTACAGCACTGAATCCAGTGTTGCATCGATTAATCTGAATAATTGTGACAAGTTCACTCTTAAAATATCATAATCGTATTTTAATCATCGCTAATCGTTAACTGAACTTCAAGCTGAAAATCATTTTTGAATGTTTTGTGGACCAGCATTATAACAGATGAGTCATACCCTCCATTTATCTGCCAAAACTGAAAAAAAAAAAAATGTTAATGTATTAATCTTGCATAGATTGGATGTAGTTTACTTTTTTATTTTAGTCTGCTGTAGAATTTTCTGTTAATTTCAGGCAAATAATTCCTTCCTATTTTGAAGGTATTTGTGAGGAGGTCCTTTCCCCACTGAAAAGATAATATTTTGATAGCCATAGTTTGAAATCCATGAATAGCTTTGTATGTTTTTATAGATTAAAACTATAAAAAAAACATTATTTTGATTCTTATCCTTTTAAACATACGACCAGTTACTGCCTGGCTGTTTAACTCTCTGCTACAGTGATATACTAATCCGTGTATCATTCGTTCATTCGTTTTTCAATATAAAACCAAAAATAAGAAAACGAAAAAACAACTGTTTTCTTCGTTATTTGTCTCCAAAACCAAAATGAAAAAACGGATAACTATTCGTTTTTTCAGTTTTCGAACGGCCCAGTCTCAGTAGCGCTCTGGTCCCGGTCTGGTCCCGGTCTGGTCCCGGACCTGGTCCATTTGAACCAAAAGCTCTTAGTTCGATTCATTTTCATTGGTCTGAATGCGTCAGTCGGATGCTTTGCACCACCTCGGAACCAGCCGCGGTTCTTGAGCGCGGAGGACCAGAGCCGCTCTGTCCCGGTCTCAGTCCTGCTCTGGTCTCGGTCTGGTCTTGGACCTGGATCCGTCCTGATTCAGTCCGTATGCGGTGAGACTGGGACCAGACCGGGACCAGAGCGGGCCTGAGACCGAGACCGAGACAAGACCAGGACCAGACCGGGACCAGACCGGAGGCTCAGAGCCCACGGCAGGGCCGGAGCTCGAAGCTAAGGCTCGGACCCCGTGGAGGCCCGAGTCAAAGTCAAAGCTCGGAGTCCGCCCTGGTCCCGGTCTGGTCCCGGTCTCAGTCCCGCTCTGGTCTCGGACCTGGATCAGTCCTAGTTCAGTCCGTACCCGGTGCAAAAGTCCGGCATCGCAGTCACGGAAGTCACGTAAACGGGAAACGGCCGTTATCCGTTTTTTCCATTCTTCATTTAAACACAAAATCGAAAACTGAAAAAAACGAATCGTTATCCATTTTTTTTCATTTTGGTTTTGGAGACAAATAACGAAGAAAACAGTTGTTTTTTTGTTTTCTTATTTTTGGTTTTATATTGAAAAACGATATTGAAAAACGAATGAACGAATGATACACGGATTTATACTAAATACATTGTGTGTTTTGTGTGTTTTCTGTGTCTAGGCGTGTGCCCCTCTGTACCACTGGCGCACGGTGAAGCTGGGCGGGGAGCAGGACCCGGTGGGGACCTGTTATGTGGCAGTGCAGAACTTCAGCGCCTACGCAGAATACTCCCCCTGCAGAACCAGTCAGTCTACGTCTGCCTCGTCTCAAATTCTCTGCCCCCTTTCCTCTCTATCCTCAGCTGCAAATACCATCTCTCAGCCTGAAT